TTACGTCTGAGACTCATTCGTGGGCTCATTAAAAATACGGGTAAACAAGTTTTATCGTTTCCGAGGGTGAGAAAATCCGTGCAGCAACCTCAATAGGGTAGCAGGCAACAAGAGAGCAAGTAGAAGGTAAAATGAGTAGATGAAAAACTCTGAAGAGAATAGCTTGAAGCATCTAGCTATCACTATCACCTCGTTACTTGGTGCAACTGGCTCTCAAACTTTAAATTAAAACCACCAACGTTAAAGTTTCAACCCCCCACTTGAAATTGATTTCAAATAACAGACGATTGATTTTTTTATGAAAAACTCCCGGGTTCTCTTGTAACGTAATTTTCATAGTTAAATGGGGGATTTTGTTGGGTCTATTTTCTTAGCTCAAGTGGTCGGTATTCAATAGAAAGTATACGAGGGCTTGGATAGAATAAACTGTTCCATCGGGATTCTCATTGAAAATAGATTCACTACTTGTGGGGTAAACTGAGGAAATGCTTCGGGAAAAGGGAAGTTCACCGAATGTTTTTCTTTTTGAAGATAAGGACTTATTTTAGTGAAGTGGACGAGTGGTTGGTGAAGATCTGGGGATCTGAGGGAGATGGCGAAATATTTGTGAAGTCTTTCTTATAAATTTCCGACAGAGCCTTTCCGAAATTCAAAGCGTTCACAAACACCCGGGAAGAAATTTGATATTTTCTAACCGTTTTTATATAAATATCTCGTGTAATAGTTTTGAGCCCTATTCAGTGAGATGGAGGTAGTAAATAAGTAAATAAAAACATAAGAACTCCATAAAAATTGAAGTAAACAATTGCACAACGTTTTGAGTGCTCAAGGCACTTTTCTTCAGGGGCTTAATATATTCTGGAACTTCCAGTAGTGTATCCTCTTGTTTTCTGCTCAGCCCAATAATTTACGGTTTCAGTGCTTACGGAGCCCCTAAAATAATTTATAATGAAAATTCCATTTAAATCCGTTTAATGATCTTTTTGTCTCTGCAGCTGCGTTCGCCACGTATCGATAAGTGCCTTTTTATTTACTCGTAAACGTAACATCATTGTCTAAAAATATTGTTCGACATATGCGCGATGGGAATTTTATAGTTCGTGTGATTGGCCGCCATCGGCTTCGCCTCGGGCCTCCAACTTCACACTCGTGAAAAACCCGTTGCACTTGTACCGAAATATACAATTTCGTGAAATGCAACCGACGAAAGGGCAACGGATTCATTCAGTGATCCTAGAAATTCAAAGATTTCATACACTGTTCCAAATTTTTCACTGAAATTTCCGGTAAGAATCTTGGAAATTTCTGACAAGTAACATTTCTATTGAAACTTCAAGGAATTTCGTTAGTAGTAATCCCCCGAGAGCGTCAAAATTATCGGGTATTTGCCGATAGCCTCATTGCAAATAAATGAGGGTGTCAAGTTTTGCAGGTTAAAAAATCCCGAGCGCTTGCACGATTGTTTGACATCAGGAGGTGAATTTGGTTGATGATTGGTTGAACAAATCATGTTACTAGCATAACCCGATTTTCGTAGAGTATTAAATACAAAATTTGATCTGTAATGATGCGAAAAAATCAAGAACTACTGCGAAATATTCAAAAACTAGAAGAGAATATCCGAAATGATACTGTAGTAAAATAATTCCTAGTCAAGATGGATTAAATAAAATAATTTAATACAATACTATTTGTACAATGTATTTGTACAATGTTGAAATACAACAGTGTTATGGACGGAGAAATCTATGAATGGAGGTGTGAATAGTTCTCAGGTCAAAGCCCGAGTGTTTCCTTGTCCATCGTCCCCCCTCCGATGGTCCCGCTGGGCCCTTGTCTTAGGCCCCATGTCACCAGGGGTCGTCAAGTACTCGTCAATGTCCGTCTTTCTCCGGTATCTGTCCTTGTCATTGTCACTCCATCCAAAATCCGAAAATCGTCCCGCCTCAATACTGTTGGATAGACTCAAATACTGCGTTCTGATTGTTCAAAATCCCATCTGGAAAAATAGTCATTGAAAATTCATAATTTCCTGCAAAAATCCGTGAAAACTGCAAATTTCAGTTCAATTATTCCAGGGAAATTAATCAATAATCCGGAAAATTCCGAGCAATCTCTCCTTGAATTTCAGAGTCCTGAATTTCCAAGAATTTTTAAGCAAACCCCTGAAAACTCAAGGGAATATAGCAGTGAATATTCATTTTCAGTTGAAACTTCACGGAAATTATGGAATTTCCGGACTTTAATTTTCAGAGGAATTTGAAATTCCATTGACTTTTTCAGCTGAAATCGAATTCAGGGTCTTTTCCCAGAAAATTCCGCCAAATTTTTTTCACATTGTAGAATATTGAGGATTTTTACTTGAAAGATTCAAGCAAAAACATTCACCACTAATCTTAATTATGTCAGCTGCGAACAATCAAACATCAGCAATAAAGCACGTACGTGTCGTCCCCCTCGTAGGATTACTCAATTCAATTCTCTCAATTATATTGCGTGAAGTTATACAGTTTCCACTCTCTCCATAACACGCATCCATCTCTCTCCCACACCCGACGATTCATCGTTCAAGTTAGTACGGTAACCAACCTAGTCATTGAACTTGGTCGGTCGTAAACAATCCTCAAGAATGAGTCACGCCTCGATTCACACACAGAACGAAATTATTCATCCATGGCAGGGCTCCAGTATTCATTTACTTCATCAAATTTCATTTTTCCCCAAAACCAACTGACCACATTGTCTCATGATTTATTCCTCACCATTCGATGATTAAAAAAAACCGCGATATGCAGCGGAAGAGAACGGACCACAACCGAATGTAATTGAAATCAACGGAAAAATATACAGGTACATAAAAAATATAATCAGTGCCCTGCAGTCGACAAATACGCTCCACGAGTCACGTTGGGTTTCGGCAATATTGGTACTTTTATTGGAACAAGTTGCACAAGTTTACACAACTGATGAAATTCCACTAACCTCTGCTCCAATATTACACGACGATTTGAAAAATCCGGATTTACCGTGGATTTGTAGCTGCGAATAACCCGGGAGCATACAAAATGCATAAGTCTGTCGATAGGCAAAAACTCGTAATTATAACTTTCTTTCATAACTCTTGAAAATAATGGAAACCTACACGCGATTTGAAATTTTCGTCTGAATCATATTTTCAATGACATTTTAGAAATCTCGTCATTGAAAAAAAAGTTCGTATAATTTAACAATAATTTTTTATTGCCATTTTTATGTTTATTGCAATTTTTTTCAATTCAATTCAACTATAAATTTTGGTTTGATTATACGAAATCGTTTGAATTTGCATCATTTCTATATAGAACTGATGGAATATGAGTGCAAGTGAATAAATAAATGTGGCAAAGTTATACTTTATAAAAATCTTCATTTTCTCGAGGAAGGCACGTCTATACTAAAGGGCCATCGTCCTGAGACTGAAGGCGATAATCAAATGAAAACTCGCCCTGGGAAAACGAAAAAAAAAATAATAGTTTTGCGACTCAAGAGGACACAGTCCTTCAAATTTCAGCATATGTTTAGGATTAAACCGCTCTCGAGTACGGAGCACATCGGATCGTTAGTCCCTTTCCAAAACTGCTTTCCCAGTCTGTCATAAATCTTTGTCGAGTAGTTTTTGTACAATAATAAAAGAGCTGTGCTCGAATATTCCAACAGAAACTTAATCTACCATAATTTTTCTCCCCGAGATCAAATTCAATCCCATTCTTCCAGAAATTACTACTACGCAATTCGTGAAATTAAAAATGTTATACTTGTTTCAAGCATTTATGCATGGCTGAATGTATAAATTGAGAATATTTCTTTTATTTATTCTAAAATAATAACTTTTGACTCATGAATGCAGTGGGATATTCCTCAATCAAGAATAATTCATTCATAAAACAGAAATATTAATATTTATTTTCTTCTTCCTCATTAATTTTTACAAACACCATATTCTTCCGTGGAATCCATTTTTTATGTCCATCAAATTCCATTCTTTTTCGTGCCTTAAGTATAAAACTTCCAATTTTCATCCTCCGAAAAATGTAAAAATTCCCTCGTAAAATACCTCGTGAAGAAGCCCCACCTAATGAAATTACATAAAGCAGGTCGCAGACTTTCTTGATAACTCCCCAGTCACGAGGACACGGAAAATTTTGTCGGAACACCTTAATCCCCTCCCCTCAATCATTTTAAAACTGTCAAAACAAGAACTAACGCTCTGACTACAACCGAGCCACGAGATCTGGCAGCTAAATCTCCCAAATAATCCACCTCGACGCCCGTTAGTAACTCTCGGAAAATTTCAATGTCTTCGTCTGTCGCGGAAATGCCGAGATGCCGCGAGAGTAGAAAAAAATGAGGAAAAAAGTAGAATCAATTATCAAGACTGGGCTCCGGAAGGGCGTTAAATGTCGAGTAATAGTGAAAGAGTAGAATAGAGGGGAGAATACGTACCGAATGACGAGTGAAGATTGACGAATCAACAGTCTCCACCTCCCTCTCCCATTTCCCCATTTATTAACTCAAGCTGAAGATGACGATAAACAGTGTGAACGTAAGATAAGGCGCCGGGATGCTCTGACACGGTCGTTAGCATAATAACACTCAAGTAGTTGGTATCGGAGCACTCTTGTTCAGTTCGTGCTGACACCTCGATCGCGTCGTGTTCATCGGCTAGATAGAGCTGTCTTATTCGTGACTACTTGCTACTGTCCACGCGTCTGTTAACGCACCTGTTTATAAATACACAACGAGAAATCGTGCAGATTAATCGGGGCGAGAAAATACTCGGTCAAGCGTGACAACCGGCAAACATTGAGCACTCGACACATCATTTTTTTCCCCATTTTCTTCTGACATTCGCGACCCAAACAACATCAATAACATAAATAACTCTGCACCACTGATCGCGAAGACGAATAGACTCACGAGACAATACAAAAAAGTCAAAATTACCTGTTTCATCTTCTCAGAGGGTCCAACGAGAATTGAGGGACTAAAAAATGGTCATGGAGGCAGCAGCAATGGTGGTGGATTACCTCGTATTCATCGCTGTAATAATAGCATCGTTTATCATACCGCTGTGGGGTAAATTTCGCACGAAGAAAAAGGAGACTAAGGCGAGCTATGTATTTGCAACGGGAAGCGTGTCAATGGGTGCAATGATGCTGTCCATTGCACGTGGTACACTGGGTGTTAGATCATTTCTTGGATATCCATCAGAACTTTATTACCGTGGCAGCGCAATGTGGGAGACGATATATGGTATGCTTCTGGCGTATCCCATTGTGTGCTACATCTTCGTACCTGTTTACTACAGTCTGGGCATAACATCCGTCTACCAGTACTTGGACATGAGGTAATTCATCAATTATGTCATATGCATCATGCCGGATCATGATTTTCGGAGGATTGTACTTGGGTAATTGTTTTATCATTCTTTTGTCTGCGCAGGTTTCACTCGAAGCTTGTCAGGTGTCTGGCGAGTTTTTCGTATGTGCTGAGGAGTCTTCTTAATCTTGCTGTAATTGTCTTCACACCGTGCGTTGCTCTCAACACGGTCATTGGACTGCCTTATTGGGCTAGCATCGTGGGAATTACGACAATATCGGTTGTCTTCTCGTCAATGGTATGTTGAATAAATTTTTGGGACGTTCGGTTGGTGGAGATTATCGTAAAGTTAAGAGTTGGCGGGAATTTGGGAGAAAACTTTCGGCTATACTGGTAGATAGAAATTGAAATTTCATGGATAATCGACTAGTAATTTGCAGGAGAGTGACCTTGAATGCGACGTAGGGGAAAAATCGGAATATTTCGGGTTTTACTGGAAAGTTAATGAAATTCCCAATTTTTGAGCGGCGTTAAGACGAGAGTTATTTGTTTATTGGACGCCAGGTGAATGAACAGAAGACTCTTTTCGTAAGAGTGACTCGACTTGGGTTTTATTAAGACGCGGTCTCACTTCGAGAACAGTCGCAAAACTCAATAAAAAATATCGACGGCAAAAAAATCCAACAACCGTAGCCGTTTTATTGTGGGTTCTTTCTCGTCAGGCTTAATTAGATGTTTATGTTATATTATTTGATTAATTTTTGAATTTTGCATTCCGGCCAAATTACTGAAGACGGGAATTATTATAGTGTTCCACAACTTGTAACGTCACAGAATATTGTTGCATAGGATTTTGGAGAAGATAGGAGGGGAACCAACATGATTCTTGGTATTAGTTTTCAAAAAAAATGTACTGAAAAAAATGGATAGTCCAGACCGGGACGATATAATATATTCACCGAAATCTTCCTGATTTCTATTAATTTTCAGGAAATAATTGAATTGGAATTTACAGTGCTCATTGATTTTTCCATGAAATTTGGAATTTTCAATGAATAAATTCTATCAATTTCAGCAGAACTAAAATGTAGTACTAAATAGTAATTTCCGGAAAGTCTATGCTAAATTTCAATCGAATTTTTTTTAACAGTGTACGATGTTAAGGATTATGGAAAATTGCTAATTATTTCATCTTCACTAAATTCTTCGCAAATCTAAAATAATTGCCGAAAGGTTCTCTTCTTGACTAATTGATCGGAATGGTCATTCTTTCTTTGAATTTCCCATTATCTTTGCCACCTTTCTACGATATTAAAAACATTGGACTTTCAAAATCGTAAAAATTTATTAAGAATTGATCTTCAGATGGAATTTATTCGAGTTATTTTACCAGTTTGCTAATTTATTACGCTCCCGTAACGTTTTTCAAATATTTTTCTTGAATAGACATTTGTGGGATTTTGTTTCAGGGAGGTTTGAAGGCAGCCATACTATCAGATGTGATACAAGGCCTCACAATGATTGGTGTATCTCTGGTGATTATTCTCCAAGGCGTCATTGACGTAGGAGGTCCTGGCACCGTTTTGAATGTGACTCACTCCCACGGACGACTGGATTTTTTCGAGTAAGTTGACAGATACTGTTATCTCGAGCATCTTGATACTATTGACTTAGTTGAAATAATGAATGAATGTGTTCTTGACATAACGGAAAATTTTCTCTCGAAGCAAATAAAGGACATTATTTATTGCTAAAAATATAAAACTTGGGCTGGAATGTCCTTTATCACTACATAAAAAAAGAGGATTTAGAAATAATATTTTCACTACGGTTTTCCATACAACTTTGAAATACCCAGAAATACTTGACAGTCAGAGCAATGAAAATGCCTCAACTTTGAATTAAGTACTGAAATTTATTCATCCCGGTATTTCACGCTGTTACAGTTTCACCATGGATCCAACAATTCGCGTTACAACGGTCTCAGCTACACTGGGGCAATTGTTCATGTCCCTCTCCATATTTGGATGCCAACAAAACTTTGTACAACGATATTGCAGTATGAGCAGTAAAAGTAAAGTCGTAAAGTGAGTGAATACCAAATATGAAAAGAAAAACAATTTATAATTCTCAATCAGTCAACGCGATCTATTATCTCCATTGACGCAAGAGAAGTCTGATTGCAGATAAACCATGATTTACTTTTTGATTTCAGAACAATGATGGCAAATATGCCTGTCATTTCAGTACTGTTTTCCCTATCCTGGGTAGTTGGAATGGTAATATACGCTAGTTACGTGGACTGTGATCCGCTGAAAGCCGGCTACATATCAAAATTCGACGAAATAGTGCCGTTCTACGTTGAAGATAAACTATCATATCTTCCCGGTCTACTTGGACTTGTAATGGCAACCCTCTTCAATAGTGCCCTCACTCTCGCTGTCTCTAATCTCAATTCCTTAGCAACAGTTACGTTCGAGGACTTTCTCAGTCAGATACCAGCGCTGAGTAATCTCAAGGACCGTCAACAGCTGCAGCTGATCAAACTACTCGGTGTTATATACGGTATACTGATAATAGGAGCTAGTTTCCTCGTTGGTATGTTGCCTGGTGTTATCGAGTCGTCGATGCTCATGACATCAGCTACCTCGGGGCCCCTACTTGGGGTTTTTCTCTTGGCAATCTTGGTGCCGTGTGCTAATTGGAAGGGCGCTGCTATAGGAATGGTAGTCAGTCATCTTACGTCAATGTGGCTGACATTTGGACATTTGACTGTAACTGATGGTGCTGAGGCATTACCACTGTCAATCGAGGGATGCATGAATGATACATTCTCTTCTCATCTCAAGCCACCAACACCTGCGATCCTGAATACTACACCAGCTGCAACTCCACTTCTAGCATCGGCACCAAAGAATCCTCTTGAATTTGTCTACAGTATTACTTACATGTACTATGCACTGATTGGTAGTATGACAACTGTCTTCGTTGGTATAATCGTCAGTCTACTGACAGCTAATGCCAAGGAGGACGCTTACGAGGAGCATCTTCTTCATCCACTAGCTTTAAAACTATCAAAGTGTTTGCCAGGTACACCGAGACTCTACGCAGAGTCGAGAAAACTTGGTGATGAACATGACGGGACAAATCCCGCCTTTGCAGCGTCAATGACGTCAGTGGAGAATGGTGATAAAATTAGTCCACCACGTGATCCTGAAATTAATGGCAAGGTACCGCAGGGTAGATACGAGTACATGAGAAAACTTAATGCACTTAAGGATGCATCTCTGGAAGTTACTCACGAGATTGATAAAGGTACAAGACTCTGAGTAATTTAACGGGGAGAGGGATTAATAGGACGATTTCAATGACTTGAGACTATGTGCAGTGATAATACTTGAGAGTTTATAATGTTATGGTTAATTAATTAGAAGAGAAGGCTTTTGAGGACTAGATGTTTGTACATAGTAGGATAAATTGTTGACTTATTCAACGTGAATGAGCTTTACTCGTAGGTAAAATGTAAATTATGTATATTTTTTTATAATTAACGGAGTCAATCCAGTTGGATGATAACTTCATAATGCAAAATGTCAACAAGTCGGGAATTGAAAATGCCGGGCTTAATTCGCGAACAGCTCATTTCGAGAGCATTCGTCATTGTATTGTACAGTTAATGAGAAGACAATAGGATTATTATAATAATTCCAGTGCTGCAAAGTTTCTGGATGAATTTGCGTGATTGCGAGGGAACGAGTGAGAGTGTTTATTCACTGTTATCTGTTGAATTGTTGAGTTTTTAGAGGTATTAATTGCACTTTATTGAATAACAATGATTTAAGGATTAATCAATAATTTAAAAATGTTCAGTTATTATGTAGGCAACGTTGTATTTACGCTGCGATTGAGTCAATCCATTCGTATCGAATTTATCATATAGTGGTATATATTTATTTGTATTGAGATTCAAGCCACTGATATTTGTTTGATATGTGTTGTACGTTAATTAGTTTAGCGGGAGATGATTATCCGTGTAAAAAAGTGCGTGAATTTTATTATTATATGTACGTTCGAGTTATGGTGACTTTCTGCATTAGTTTAATCCCAATTTTTTCGGTATTTTTGAATTATCCGTTTTTTAATGATCAAATGCTCTTTGTGTGAGGAAAGAGCGTAACATGGTACTGCGTAGGAATTAACACTGGGGACAAATGCAACGGATGTTAATACTGATAATGCATCCGACTGGTGGATGGATGAGTGCATGAGAGGAGATATATTGCGTGACTGAACATTTCTGGGCTATGCATCAACAGCGATGAGAAAGTGTCAAAAACGTTTTTGTCCACTTTGTGCAAATTATTGCACTCGACGCACAATATACAATACGTACGCCCACGCGGGCGTGAACGTACATCCAATTAACACTGTGTACGATTATTTAAAGCTCCTGGTACCTTTCACATCCCAATTACCGAGGGGAAAGGGGGTAATGTGTACTTGTGCATGTGTACAAGGATATAGTGTGGGGGTGCATTTTTTTCCTTTCTATTGCGGGGAGGAATGGACTCAATTTATTACGGAATTTCGATCGGGGGGAGGAAGATTAATGGGTACTAGTGTGTTCTGGGGTATTAATACCATCCTTCATTCATGATTGGTTGGTGGCACTTGGGTATGGATAATTGTGCTCACTGATTGAAGAGGAGAAAGAATCATTTCATCCTTATGGGGAATTCATGGAAATCGGAAAATTAATACTTTTTTTTTCATTTTGTTATTCTGTGCTTTGACCTACAGCGGGTTACTTACTACCAACTATGTGAACATGGAATGTAATTTTAGTTTAGTTTGTCGACTCTCCGAAATAGAAAATGGGATCTTCATGGGGAACAAGTTCTTCCTCCCGGTATTGCTCAAAGAATTCTTCCGTCACACCTCATGTTTTCCTTCAAATTTTTTGAAACAACTTGCCAATATTCTCGACAACCCGAAGTTTTTTCAAATTTTCTGAAAGACCCGACACTTCCGTCAAATTTCCTTAAAAAATTGTAAATATTCGCCAACGTTCAAGAAAAACCGGAAACATGATTGCAATTCATAGAAAATCCGAGAATTTTCCTCAAGAAACCCGAAAATGTTCTCGACTTTTTCAGAAGGTTGTAAAATTTATCAGAGAGTTCTAGAGTTTTCCAGAAGCTTCTACGTTATATTTAACAATACTTTTGCCTTTTTTCCTGAGATTCCATTATTTTACCGAAAGTTCACATACTTCCAAGGAAATTCTGGAACATTCTACACCGAGAGAAAAAAATACTTTAAACAAAGGTGATTTTCTTGATACAAAAAAATATACTCTTGTCAATTTCTAGAATCGTGAAATCTCCTAGTAAATGGTTTCGCGTTTACACTGAGACAAAGAAGTCTTTCAACTGGAGGAGATTCTCTTTCCCCGAGGAAATTTTTAAGTGTTAACATAAGTCTTCCCACAAACTCATTCAGTTTGCGTTATTATAGACTTTAATAGTAGATTATAAAAATTTACACTTTCCCGATCTGATCACTCATCATCTCCAACTGAGGAATTCTTGTCTCAATTGCACGTCGAACACTTTCATTATCAATTTAAGTGTATAGAAAATTGACCTCCAGTGTTGTGCTCTTTGTGCAAGATTTTATGTAATCAAAGTCCTGATGAAAAAAATTCTCGATATAACGCAAACTACATGAATTTATGGGAAAGAAATCATTTCTAGTTTTGAGAACGCGTAAAAATTCTCTCGGGATAAGAGAATTCCATCCTGTTGGAAAACTTTTTTCTCTCAGTCTAAGAACGAAATTATTCATCAGGAGATTTCACAATTTTTGTAATTGACCCGCGAACATTTTCTTGTATCAAATAAACCTTTCTTTCAGCGTATGGTGCATCCCCTTGTTTAGATCAATCAACAGAGAAAACCCCATTGAAATCCACCCAATCTTTGCGTGAATCACTAACAAAAAAGAACAACAGCTTGATGAAATGTAAAAGGAAGAAAATGAATTCTCAACAAAATACGAATGAATATCCTGTTTTGAACCGGAGCACTGTGGAAAATTTGATAAAATTTTCACCCCAGCAATCAGGTAAAGTACTTCATTCCCATTCCGAGGAGGTCCCATGGTCGAAGAAGGAGAGGAAGAGAGAACGGCAAAATATTTGTGTCCGGGGAGTGAGACAAGTTGTACTTCCGGGGTTTGGCAGACAAGGTGAGTTCCCGGTTATCGTCTTGGAGCGGAGAAAATGTAACAACGCGAAGATTAGGTGGACGGTTATCTTTTGTCGTTGGTACTGGTGCACTCGGGCGGATATAAATGAGTACAGACTTGGGTGATTTCTACAGTGTGCTCAACGGTGAGGCTTTTTGCACAATTTCTGCCCCTTTTTCGATTCGTCCCTTTCTCGTAATCCCTGGAATGGATCTCGATTATCGGTCACGTACCGTTATCATTCGGCTGCCGTCCAAACGAGAGATTGGATGATGGGTTAGAGTTTCGTGAAGTCGCTGCCGTTTCATCCGCAGCAGTATACTTCAATGCCCTTTCCGTGCAAAAAAAAACGTAAGCTCACTGCAGTGGTACTTCCAACTGGAAATGGGAGTGGCTTCCAGGCTATCTCCCCACCTTTTCTTTATCTATATTCATGTATCCGAAAGTGGAAGGGTGGATGGGGTTAAAGGGAGGGTAAATGAGACTACAAAAACCAGGGGAAGAGAGGGAATGAGGAGAAATTGGGAGGAATAAGAAAAGAAAATCGTCTTTGGGTAACGGCCAAATTTCGGTCTGTTTGAAACACCCCAAACGGCCAAATCGAATTTCTCTTCATTATTTAAATGAAATTCCTGGAAAATCGCCCAGTATATTTCCTTTCAGCCTGTAGATCATTCTTTTTCATGTATTACTCTGTCCCCGACCGGAAGAAATATACGTTTGAAATATTTCAGATGTATTTGATGAAATAAGATATGGTTAATAGGAGTGATGTAATATGACTACTACATAAGAAGTCATGTTTCTATTTTATGAACAAAAATATCGATTTTTTAAAAAAGAAAAACTACACTACTGGAGAAAAGTTGAAATTTCGTGGACAATTTAGAAGTCATTTTCAATGGAGCTTTCGATCGAGGGTTAAAAATTTTTATTTTTATTTTTCATGGAATAATTGAACGCAAATAGACCATTTCCATAAATTTTTCCTCAAATTATGAATTCTCAATTACGTAATTCCTTGAAAATTCAATGAAACTGTCACTTGATAAAAATTTCAAAGAAGTTTACCAGAAATTTCAACCAACCAACAAACAATTTCTAACAATGTAACAATCACAAAAAATTATTACGTTATTGAAACTCAATGAGTGTCAATGTTGCATCATTTTTATCTCTTGTCTCTGTGGATAGAATATCGTAGGAATCTCACTCGACAGATAAATTTTACTATGTGTTTCTCCTAAGGCGCCCCCTCCGCCTTTCTAAAACAGAAAAAAAATAAAAAATGACATTTCAATTCAGATATGACTTAACACTGATATCTCAAGTGAAAAATTGGGAATGAATGGAAATGACAGATAGCGTGTGAAGGAAGGTCATGGAAGACACGATATGAGAACATTTTCGTCTGAGAAAAAAAAATATCAGCTTATTTTCTACGTCAGGGTGGAGGTTAGCCTGGGGGAGATTACACCGATGAATATTACGCCGTCCGATGGAATCCATTCGGCATCAGACATTCAAATCGTCTCCGTTAACCACCATTTTATTGAATAAATTAGAGTTCTACAGAGAGGGTTGAGTTTTGTGGGTGAATCGAGGTGAGTCAAGAGTCTCTTCTGATGATTGAGGGGGGACCTAGGTGAAATTTGAAAGTCTTCGATTGATAAGACTAACGATCGAGCAACTTTCGATGTATCATGGAGTACCTAAATAACTAAGAAAAATTTCGTACCCAACTCATTTTACCTCGCACGTCCGGCGAAAACCTTATTTTATTTGTTTTTGACTTTGAAATACTCCTTGCACCACAATTTTCATCCGATTCAACCTTTTGTTTTCAAAATGTTCATTAGATTCCATAGATTAAAACTAGGTATTTTTTCGATGATCTCAATTAGATCATAGAAAAATTCAATTTTTCATCACTTATGCGTAAAATGAAATTTTATACATGCTCCGCGTGAGCAAAGTCCACTTTTTACACATTGCAATGAAAAATAACGGTCGGTAAATTTTACCCTAGCCGTACCGTAATTTTTACTCTACCGGCACGGTAATTTTTATTTTTATCAGGATAAAATTTCTCTAACGTAGAATAAAATTTGATCATCATATATTAATTTTTACTAAATTTCGGGATAGAAATGAGGAAATGATGACTCATGATACACTTTTATGAACGGTAGGATAATTTTTATCAAAAATTTCTCTCCGTGTAGGTACCCCATAATATATCAAAAGTCGCTCGATAGTTATTTTCACCAACCGAAGATTTTCAAATTTCCTCTAGCTCCCTCTTAAACATTTATTAATACTCTCATTGTTAATCCGAGTAGACGTAATTCAACCGAATAACTGGTAATGTTCTGTTGTATCTCTCATTACGCATTACATCTAGGCTAAACCAGTTCAATCATGAGATTAAAGACGCACCAGAAGCGGAATAGAGGGATGATTTCAATTCAATTAAAAATCGAAAACTCCCTCAACTCCGTGTGTTACCATAGCAACAAAATTATTTTCACGCTTGAACCGTCATTGAAATTATTTAACTCCAATTTTCCATTCGTTCTTTTCTCTATCGTGGTTAGCCGCGGCGCTCCCAACCTCCCTCAACTCCAGAGAGATAAAACAAACCCGGAGAAAAGTATTTCACTGGGGCTGGGAAAAACCTCAACCCTCAGTTACAAGATGTCTGTGGATTCAAGGTGAGTAGCCTCTCCAACCGAGGAAAAATCGATAATAACCCTAAAGTCGACCGCCAAAAGCCTCCTCTGGCCGTGCTATCCTTCCGAAAAAAGGAAATAAAAATGGGTAATGCGCTGAGGGCAAATCTCTGCCTTTTGCCTTCGACACAACGTTTCGACTTTCCCTCCTCAAATCCACTGCTCTCCCATCTCACTCTCTCCATCACCATTGATCTTTTCCAATCCCCTGATTTAGTTACACGGGATGAAATCCACCGATGCGGTAACAAGAGAAGAGGCAAAAACCTGTGAAAAAAAGTTGCTCAAATAATTGATTTCCCAATTTCATTTTGTTTCGATTAAATTCACGATGGAGACGTAGAAAAAGTGATACTTTTTTCATCGCATAGTAATCGGAGTTTTGTCAGATGGGTGTTCCATTAATTCCACAGCGGTCATTCGTCATTCCATTTTTTTTCACTCTTTCCATCGCGTAAATGTACAGTCCCACGGAGATACACATTCAGGTTATTTTTGTGTCTCTTGGTTCTGTCCTCCCATACCCCGTTGACCGCCATTCCTCGGCGTTTTTCCCATTGACGAAACTCACTAACACCTAGACGCAACGGACGACTGAATTGGAGGCTTTTTTTCGTTTGACTGAACAATTTACCTTCACACCGAAAATTATTTCGTTCCATCTCGCGGAGGGAGAATGGACGATTTTTTGGAAAAAATGGGGAGAACTGTGCGTACGAACGAATGCAGTTGGAGGGACATGTGAGGGGGAACTGGTTGATCGAAGGGTTCTATTTAGGTACGGAGAGAACAGTTGAATAAAAATTACCTAGAAAATCGTGACAAGTTTTACCATACGAGTGCGTAATCGTGGAGCTAAATGTAATTCAGTGAAAAATACTGGTTTTTAGTGGATGTCTTATGATTTTCTCCACGGAGAGAAATATTCAGTGAAAATTACGGAACAATTCACGTAATCCACAATGGGGAATCGTTTTCCGGCAATTTTTATAGGAGTGGAAGAGAAGAAATCTGACACGTTCAGTGAATTCTCAGGTTCATCACCGAACAAAGTACGAAATTGTCATGTAATTTTCCCCGAAGAAGTACAATCTTACAGAAACTTCCCGACTTATTATGCCTCCAAAATCAAAAAATTTTGAATGTCCAATTTTTATGAAGCTGGTGAGTTATTTCTACGTTCCTTTCCGTAAAATTTCTCAATCATTGGGGAAAAATTACGGAACGACTTATTGTCCCCACAGCGGTGAGTCATCAGACGGGTGGTTAATTTTTACGGAACAAATGGTAGAACTTACGTGGTGATTGGTACAATTTCAGTTCCGACTCAAACTTTTTATTGAATTTTACTTCGCGCGCGGATTACTTTTCCAAAGGTATTTTTTACTTTTTTTGTCTAGTAATTTTTATTGAAATTTTCTCTCCGTGTCGGTAGACAAACACATCTATAGATGCTAAAATTATCCTCCTGTTCAGTAAAATTGCCCACACCGGTAGTTGTTTTCATAAGAATTAATTTCTGCAGTATCCAATAAAATTCCAATTAAAAATTATGAAAACTCAATTACTGCTCTGTACCGTCAATCCATTTAAAATTCGAATACAGCAGTTTCTTGAAATTCACAAAATTTATAAGAGTGAACTCTTTTCAATGATTTTTTTCAACATATATTCAGTTGAAAATAAATATTAATTTTGGAATAAATGAATTTCTTTGTGACAGTTTTCTCTATTTCTAGTTATTTTTGAAGTTTCATTAAATTGTAGGCTTAGTTTTAAAGCTTTCGCGCCCATAATTATTGATATCATTGGCTGTTGTAGATTTATAACTTCAATTTTTACAATTACTTCTACAGAGTTCTTGCATGATTTCTTTATTATAATATCGCTGAGTGAACTGTTATTATTTGACTTATTATTTTATCTAATTTTTCATTCACAGGTACTTTTTGTTTCTTTTTATCCATTGTGTTATTACACTGTTAGAAATTTCTTGAAATTTCAATCACAACGTCATCTGAATTTTCAATGTTGTGAATTTGAATTCAATTTCAAATGAAAACGTTTACAAAATTTCGCATTCATTTTGAAAATTCAAAAAAATTGGATTTTTCATGTTAAAGAATCATTGATTTTTCAATGAAAGCTTGAATTTCCAAACTCATCGTGAAAATTGAACATCACATACAATTCAATTTTTAATAGATTAAAAATTCAGAGAAGTTATTGCCTGAATTTTCAGAATTTTCAAGGTTTTTCAGTGCCGTATGGACCTGAAAATCGAGAATTACTTGAATATCCAAGAAATTAACTGATTCATCAATAAAGAATTCTACAGACATTTCATGTAACTTTGTCATTGTTAAAAATTTCAAGCGTTTTCCCATGAAATTTCAAAAGTAATTTTCTAGCAGTGTACTTCTTTTATTATTATTATCTATTCTTGGGAGAGAGTGAGAGAGTAGGGCCTGACCCCCGGACACAGGAGTGATCGATTGTATTGGAAATGTTTGTATGAATCACACATCCCTGTCATCAATCACGACTAGTTTCAGGATTTGGCCTAGTTGTTTGAACGAAACCGATTGATTTCAGATGGATTCCGTGCCGACTAAAGGTCGAGCCGAGTGTCTGTACACCGGACTACGACGGTATAATCCTGGTGTCAGGATGTCCGCCCGGGGTCGATGAGCCCGAGCCCTTCAAGACCGTTCTCTTCTGTGCGGCGCAGATTGACGATGCCCTTCAGGATATTGGCGCAGTTTTGCCCATCAATCTACCAGCGAGGCGACTTATCTACAGTCCAACTGGACCGCTCAATATGGACTACCACGATGTCAGAAGCTTTTCCGAGGCTGCGATCAGGGGGATCCAGAGGTAATTACCGATCACACTTGATCCCCTTCTCGGGGCGAAAAGGAGTAGCTTTCTCACTTCGGACGGACAGGGTGATTCCTTTCGTCCATCTAAAAAATGAGACTTCCTTGCACGTCACAGTGCTTTTGTTCACCAACTGGACGAAGAATTGACTAAAATTGTATTTCCACCGGTAGAAAATTTAAATTGCGTCTCGTTTCCGCTGCACTTTTAGTTGATATTTAATCCTATTCTGATCACCATAGTCAACACAGAGATGAAACTGGTTTTGACAACACTGTTAGAAATTTCCTGAAATTTTAGTCACACGGAGAGAAATATTCAATAAAAATTACGGAACAATTCACGTAGTCCGCAATGGGGAATCGTTTTCTGACAATTTTTATGGGAATGGAGGAGAAGAAATCTGAAACGTTCAGTGCATTTTCAGGGTCATCACCGAACAAAGCACAAAATTGTCGCGTAATTTTTCTCGAAGAAGTAAAATCTTACAGAAACTTCCCGACTTATTATACCTCCAAAATCAAAAATTCTTGAACGTTCAACAATTTTTATGAAGCGGGTGAGTTATTTCTACGTTCCGTTCCGTAAAATTTCTCAATCGTTGGGAAAAAATTGCGGAAGGACTTATCGTTCCCACAGCGGTGGGTCATCAGGCGGATGGTTAATTTTTACGCTTCGTACAATTTCAGTTCCGACTCATACTATTTATTGAATGGGACTTCGCTGGCGGATTACGTTTCGAAATGTAATTTTGACGTTTTTTTTCTGGTACTTTTTATTGAATTTTTCTCTCCGTACACAGCGTCATCTGAATTTTCGCTTCGCGCCAGTCGCTATAGATTAATTAAATACTATTTTATTTTCTTTTATCTTATTTTCGTCCTATTTTCGTCTTCACAATTAGATCAATGTAATTTTATCCATTCTTATTATTATTATATTGTGTTTTCCTTAATCCACAAGCTACAACTTTGAATGAACAGGAATTATGTTAAAAATCAATAAAAAGTGTTTTTTGTTTATCAAAACAAATATACAAAAGAAAAGTCATTCGATTTCTCATTCGGGTAATAGAAAAATCTCCCTACGTATTCCTGATAAGTTTTAAAATCTATTTTTTTCGAATAATGAAAGAATACCTATAAATTCGATTCCTTTCCTTATGTTTTGATAAAATGAAGAGAATTGGAGACTGAAAATGTTTAAAATGGGATAATCGCCTAGAAAATGGAAAAATTTGTTTTTCTTCATTCGTGTCGGCGGAAACGCGGAATTACTATTTTTGTTTTAAATCTAAGGTTAAAGTCTAAGTAAAAAATCCGCGGAGTAGAAACACACAATTTCGCGACCTGTTTACAGAAAATAAAAGCTCCATAAACTCGGAAAATTTTTCATCGGATTCCGGCGCCGAGTCGTTATATATCCCTTAGACATCTTTGTCTCTCATATTTTTTTCTGCTTCCTCTTCTCCACTTTTTTTCTCCTCTCCTTCAGTCTTTTGAAGTAATAGCACAACCCATTTTTCTCTCTACTCAGTCAGCAGCCAGCGTGCCGGCGGCGTTTTCGTACCTCACGGCTGTGTATAACCGTGTATACTAGCCGCAGAAACGCACGCGCATAAAAAGCATTTCAACTGCTGGTTGTTTTTAAGCATGAAAAAGCTTTTGATTCGTCCGCAGAAATTTCCCCGACAAAAAGTGTTGCACAGTGAGTGGGAGATTATGGCGTAGACGGTCAAGCCGCACGTGTCACCGGGATTTGTGATTTTCGTTTAGTGTTTGAATGTATTCCGAATAGCGAATGCTTGCCGTAAAATCCGTTGGTCTCTTTCTTCTGCAATTGAAAGAGTTTTATACTCTTTAATCTCAGGATTTATGCCTCATGAAATTGCACTTGCGCTTGCATTGAATGAATTACTTCTTATTAAATCTCCGAGACTAATGAACTCTTGAAAATTTTCAACATTTCATTAATCCCCGCACAATACTTTTCTCATAAAATTTCTCCCCTGCAATTTCAACTAAAAATATCATAAATAATGATTATGTACTTTGCCGACTGGGTTAACGGTAATTTCGTGCACACGGCTCCTTCAACAGTGAATGCGAGAATACGAATAAAGTGGTCTAAAGAATAGCAGAGGGGCTGAGGGGTGCATGGGTCAGAGGAAACTACGGCAAAAGGAAGGGTTGAGGAGTGGAAAGAAACATGGGGCGGATAGGGTAACTTGTGTTCTCTCATTCAATTACAGAAATTGTTTTTCCGATCCTAGAAAGCTTTGGCGTAACCTCCATTCACCGGGATAAGAGGATTTTACGTGCTTCTGGTGTATTCGCGATTCTACCTCTGCATCTCCGTGGGGCATTGGCGAATGGTTATCACGATGAAAATTGAAAATTTCTTATTTTGAATTGCATTAGCATAATGGGTTGACGGGGTTGAAGGAACATTGTAATTTTGTGGTTCACTCTGTGGTCTTTTATTTGCGGTGAAAAAATTAGACCGGGTTTGATCATTTTTCGGGAGATTTGAGCGGAATAATTAGTGAGACATTTCATGAGACATCACGTGACAAAACTTTGGAGAGAGGATTTCGGCCTCAATGAACATGAAAATCTTTGCTCTCGGGTCAGTCGCAAAATACGCAATATCGACTCCTCTCGTGATGACTCCGAGTCAATTTATTCCATCTCGGTTTCCAGTTTTTCGCGTTTTTTATATGTAAAAAACCGAGATTTTCGATTAAAAAACACGAAAAACTTGAAACCGAGATGAAATAAATTGGCTCAGAGTCATCACGAGGGGAGTCGATACTGCGTATTCCGAGACTGAGATCATCCCTCCAAAGTTTTGTCTCGTAAAGTGTCTCGCGCCATCACTACAAATAATCTCTGCAATTAAATGGGGTTTCCGAAATTTTCGGAGTTTTTTCGAGACAGAAAGTGTGGAATTTTATGAGGATGGAGTACAAATGAAACACTGAGAATAATCGACGTACTATTATGAAAATTATGTCTTAAGTGGAGAATATCGCACACTTATTCGATCAATATTCATGGTAGGTTTCAAACAAGAAATCGGTATTTTTGGGGTTCAAGGTATATCCTCAGAAAACGCGTTTCTCTTAAGATCGGCCCGATGTTTTTTATAGATAATGTTCATAATAGCTATCGAAAAAGATGTTAACTAGCTATACTATACAGTTTAGGAGATAATAAATACTGAAATGCGAGCTTCTAACACGCAATGCATAGAGGAAAATGGGGTTATGTGTCTCCCCGAACTCGATTTTTCCATCTTCTGTGAAAACGATTCTCACGATATTCTTAGAAAAATAATCCGCGATAGATTGATGAATTCCGAATACGGTCCATTTTTTGTAAAATTTTAGACTGCATAGTTTCTGCGATATTCAACTCTAAAAATGTAAATTTCGTGAAGGTACTCCCTATTTAATTCAAAAAATTGGAACTCGATTTTTCCATCTCATGAGAAATCAGTTCTTACGATGTTCTTAAAGTGCTTCGCGCGAAAAAGGTAAATAATGACACTCATTTGGAGTTCACATAGAATGTTTACAATCACAATTGAATTATTCATGAATTTTCATAGAATTTTTTTAGATTTCCTTTTTAAATTATTAACAATTGAAGTCGCTTTTTATACGTAGGCTCTTATGCAGATTTAAACCACGAATAATGAAAACTGACATAAAATGCTGTGATATTCATCTTTATGCGCGTAACTCAGGAGATTTTTTATGAATACTAAAATTGAAGCATTAATGACGCTGTTCAGAGAATAAAACTTCACGGAAACGTACTTCGCTGCACGTTAACCACGAACGCTGGGATAGATTGTAGTACATTTTTCTCCGTGTAGATGATATCTTCATAATCAAACATCTCCCTCCCAATGTCAATGTTAAACGTTAATCCCTGATAACATTGTTTCGATTGACAACGAAAATTATCAATCAATAAATTTTTAAGATGATTTTTTTTTTTTTTTTTTTATCAATGCATTAGAAATCCGTATAGGATTTATTAGCTTTAAAAAATAGTTCTTTACATTGCGGTTACGGTATCAATTGTTGATTTGTTACAGAGTATTTTGTGTTTTGACATTAAATTTTCAGGTTACAGTCTTTCAGGAACTTATCTATAGCTTTTATAACAGGTAGCTTCAATGAGTACACTATACGGTTGATGTTAGGTGGTAATTCTATGATTTCGAATCTTTTGCATCATTCTAACCCTCTTGTTTTCGTACTCGGGGCAGTTCCACAAAATGTGGTTGTGATCCTCTTCGGGATGGCCACATGAGCATTTTGGGTCATTGAGAATTTTTATTCTATGGAGAGAGCTTGCTGTGTTGATATGATTAAGATGAATTTTACATGAAAAACCCATTGGTCATTCAATTATTTTTTGATATCGGCGAATAAATTTGGCGAAGAGAGATATAATTTTTCTAAAACTACAGTTGAATATCTCCGACGAAATCAGTACCAACTGTTCCGTGTTCGCATAATTAATTTTTAAACACAATGAAGCTGTTAAATTTTACGACAGAGATTAATCACCAAGATTTATTCTGATATGTAGAGCACTAAAAGCTGGTGTGAGGTGTCCAATGATCGTTCTACTTCCTGACTTACGCTTCGAGAACGTCGAGCTGGTCACCCTTCTTGGTGCACTGGAGGGTCTCTACGTTGTAAGTACCTACTCAAAAAGTCTTCCATTTTATACCTTTCCCAACTCAACTGCCAACCATATACCTCCACTCGATCGTCACAGTGACTTCCCACTTCCCAGAATCGCCTCGTTCTCGTTGGGTTCCTCATTATATGGGAATTTTCTTTGTTCCATCAAGGGCCAACTCCATTCTACCCAACCCAATGCCATCTTTCACTCTGATTCATTATATCAATTCATTAACTCAAATTCAGTAGCGCAGAGGCGGGTGGAATAGATTTACATGTCACATAATTACTTTAATGACTTAAAGTCATAGGAAATTGAGTAACGCATACATTTAGAGCTTACGGTAGGATGTATCCAGCTTTAGGGAGACTTGAGGGTAACCGTCGAGCATTACTGCGCTTCTACAACTTCTTTTTCATTTAAGAGGAGGTTCAACCCGGGAAAAAACTTTCATTTTTCGAGAAAAAAATTTTTAAATACGATTTTCCGCGCGATTTTTCCTCCGGAATCTAATTCTGTAGGTCATAATTGTCTCTTGTCACTCAAAAGTAGAGAATCGATTTTTTTTTAATTGAAAAATCAACTTGAAAATTCGCAACGTATTTTTTCGAAATAGTTTTTTGAATATGATATGAAATTTTCACTCCTTAATTATGAAAAATTTGGGAGATGATGCATTTTTGCTTTCGAATGGAAGCATTGAAATACTTCCACTTTCACATTTTTAATAAATCAGTTTGCACCAAATCCTCTACTTCATTTAATTGATTCCTAATTGATTTTCAAAATCAATGTTCACCAAATCCCCTACTCAATTCTTGAATTCCTCTTTTCATTCGCATTCTTCAATACAACCTTCGTTCGTAATCTAGGACCCGACGCCACTAGGATGCACTGATCAAGTTTTCTATAAATTCTCAACTCTTATAAACAGTCTGAAGTCCAAATATAATCGAACGCAAACATTCGTTTTTAACACATTAATCTTTGAAATAACATTCCCTCAACTTATCTTGTAGTTCAAATCTCAATTATTTCACTGGCTACATACGTCATACAATGCCATCTTTTTATGCCACTAGTTCACTTATACGACTTTATTTTATTTCGTAGAAATAAAACCGCACGAATCATCAGTATTTCTACATAACGATACAGCGAGTAGAAACAAATTTATGGGCTATAAGAAAGATCACCTGATATGTTTTTATTGTAGTTCATGGTTTCAGAGATATTTCCGATATAAATGAATTGGAAAAAAATACATATTCATGATGGACGTGAATGTATTAGGATTTTCCCTCATAAAGTTGATTTAGGATAGATAATAATTTTGATTTTCAACTTCTCATTAGTCCTTCCATCGATCACTGTGGAACATTTTTTGCTGGAAAATTGGGAGGTTGTCTTGAAAATTTCTATCAAATGGTATTTCTAACAAAAATTGTAAGTGTTAAAGTCCATTCCAAAATAGCCGATAAAAAACGTACTTCACTGTTAGAAAAAAAATGAAATTTCATGGTCAGTTGACCAGTAATTTTCAGGACAGTGACACTGAATGCGCTTAAGGGGGAAATGAATCATGAAATTTCAGGCTTCACTGAAAATTCAGTAAAACTCTAGAATTTTAAACCGCATACTGACGAGAATTCCTCAATTTATTTTAATTTTCAATGTACTATGAATATTCGGTGCCAAATTACATTGATTTTTCAATAAAATCTGAAATTTCATGATTTTCTACCCCTAAATCGCATTCAGTGTCACTATCCCGAAAATTCAAGAATATATTTACTGGAATTTTCTGGTTTTCTACTCATTTTCAGGGAAAAATAGAATCGAAATTTACAGATCTCTTCGATTTTTCCCCGAAATTCTGAATTTTCAATGAGGAAATTCCTTGAAATTTAAGTAGTAATTAAATTCGATAAAAATTTCCAAAAAGTGTACCAGAAATTTCAGCTAAAAATTTTTAACAGCGCTGAAGGGAGGTTTTTCAAAGAGATCTACAAATGAGGTACATAATTGTGCTTAGTATTCAGGTCACATAGGAATTTGCACCTGTATAATACTCTACAAAGGATGAAATCGCCGATATTTTCTCCGTCGTAATATAATTGGTGTTTAATTCGTGACATGCGTTATCGGAACGAATGATACGTACTGATTCATGCGTAAATTGCATCATTCAATGACGTCTAGAAGAGATAACATTTTATCTCGCATTCGGTATCATGGCAATCTGTGCACGTCCGCATGAGACATATATTGTTGACGCTTTTTGGGATTGAAAGTCGCTTGATAAGATGCAGGAAGATTTCCCTATTTGAGATGGAGGTCAATTATTCAGTAGCGAAGCGGTAAAACGGTTTAAGTCGATTTTGACTACTGGTCAGTTTTCAATGAGTATCTCGAAATCTAAGGCAGATAGAAAAATTTTTGTTAAAACCTTTTGTGTATTTCGAATTGAGCGCTACGAAAAAGGTAATTACGAAAATTTCGCTATCGTTCTCAGATTCGGAGATATTCCTCAAAAACGAAGCTGAGAGCTAATTCGACTTAAATCGTTTTACCGCTTCGCTACTGAATTCAATAGTTGGGCTTTTTCAGGAGAACGCCTATTTAGTCCTATCCAATAAACTGTTAAAAATTGTTGTCCGAATTTTCCGTGGCAAATTCTGGAAATTTTTATCGTGTTCAAGTTCCACTACAATTTCAGAAAATCTTGTCATTGTATCGTTTTTTGTATTCAGCGAGTTATGATTTAAAAAAACAAAATTATATCGGATTTGACGTGGAATTGCTCACATGTAAGGTCCAGAATTTTTCAAGACTTCATAAAAAAATTAGGGGAGACCGAGGCAAAGCGAGGTAGCTAAGACAAAGAGGCGGGTGTCATAGCTCCTATCATACTTATATTACTTTTTAGCTATCACTATTCACATTCTAAAATTATGAACTCGTGTCTCCAACGTATTACAGTTGGGGGCCCGTTGAAGTAGTGTCAAAAATTTTAAAATAGTTATAAATGTTGTTTCTTTCTTTTTCACCTCCGAATCTCCAAAAAACAACAGAAAAACTATGAAATCGGTAGGGTTTTAATCAAAATACCCAATATGGCATCTCATCCCGGTGGCTAAAAGAATTGAAAGAATTTCCAGAGTTCTTCCATTTTTAAAAACTTTTTCCTCAGTATTATCCGAGTTTTTTGCGCTGTTCTTAACTTTTTATTGATCCTGGATCGATCCCCCGTCGACCCCTTGAATTTCTGCATTTTGGCCTTTTTTATGTACCCCACTATGCCCCGTTCATCCCGCTTTACCCGTTCTCCCCTAATTGAAAAAATGATACGGGAACTTCTGAGTTTCGGAGTGAAAGTTGCGAAGAATAACAGATGGAACACCTTAATCTCCAAAAAACACATTACCCTCATAAGTGTCCACATACGCCCGACAAAACGAATGAAACAACAGGATCTCTCCCTCTATTTTCGTCAGACCAAGTGACAATCACCTTTCTCCCCTGGTCACAATGCAATAATAACACGAGTGCCCCTCCCATCCCGCCATTCATACATACGACCCAGTGATATCAAGAGTCCTCAGCGTTCTCTCGTCGAGAAAGGCTGAACCCCTACGCCCGACGATTGTACATGAAAGAGAACCGAGGTCGATGAGGACGAGGATTTCGTTGTAGAAGGTAACTTTGGTTTCCAGCGGCAACTTTCAGCCCGAGGGCTAAACCCCAGCCTGTGCAAGTGGATGTAACGGCAGGGCGTTAGATGAGTTTAAAGTGCACCATACTCCCCCCTTGTACTTTGGACTATAAAGGCAGTAATGTATAGGACGAATCGACAGGCCCGATGAGAGAGTTTGCCCGAATATCCATCTCATACACCTCAAACTGAACCCATCCCTCCCCCGCCCTGCCCTCCCCGCAGTCCCTCTTTACTCCTTTCCCTTCGACCCGCCGGCCCCGGAAGGTAACGAATACCAAGCGTTCCTCCTCGATCCTGTGGCGGCCGAGCGGACGACCTAATTAGCGAAATACTCGAGCCATCGTCTGCTAGCTTCTTTGGTTCCTGTCTAACCTCCATGGCTCCCGAATTGATAGAGAGGCGGGGGTGGGGGTGAGGCGTATCATTTTACGAATACCAGAGGTAACACCAGGAAATTCTTGTATCGTGTAAATGGAAATTTGGGGAATGAAAAAGATTGTCGGCAACGCAGGAGAGTGGGAGGTGACTTCAAACTTCTCCGGAATTTTGTGAACTTGACTTCATCGGGGCTGGATGTCTTCCGCAGGATGGCCATTTCGGATTGATTGGGAAATATCCGCGAATTGGTCTGATATGGTCTGGTATCGAGGTAGGGGTTGACGATGGAAACAAGGCTCATCAAACGCTGGACCGAAGCTCGAAAATGCTCAATCAGAGGTGGGGTTCAAGCTTAGATCAGCCCTTATTGAGCCCCAAAAGGATAACATGAATTGAGGCTCAATTTCTAAGGCCCAAACAAGCCTTCATACCAAGGGCTGATGCAGGCCTTGAACTAGGAAATTTAAATTCGCAATCGCGCTGTTTTTGAACAAATTATATTATTATTTATAGGCATTTGTTTGAATGATTTCTGATTCTTTTGTCAGCCGTTCCGTCGATTTCAAAAACTCCATGAAAAGAAGTGCGGTAAGACCGTTTGTAACGGTCAATAATCCGATAAACCAGATTTAAAAAAATAATTAGTTAATCAATTGAACGCACTTACATTAATTGTGTTGATTGATTAATTAACGATGGACTAAAAAAATTAGCATTATTCTCTATCAATTATTTGTACTGAATGACTATTCGCGCACCTGTAATTGAAATACAATGAAATTGAACAATCGAAAAATTGCTTCTACTCGGGGAATTCGATCCGGGGTCCTTCTGATTCATAGTCCAGCGCGCTTCCTATAGTCTATCTGAAAATACTTACGACGATACATCCCAGGTAGGAATTGCCGATGAAAACAAGGCTCATCAAACCCTGAACCAAGGCGCGAAAATGCTCAATCAGGGGTGAGGCTCAAGCTTGAATCAGCCCTCATTCAGCCCCAGAATGATAACTTGAATTGAGGCTTAATTTTTAAGGCACGAACAAGCCTTGATGCCAAGGGTTGATGCAAACCTTGAATTACGAAATTTTAAAGGCGCAATCGCGCTATTTTTTTATCAAATTATATTATTATTGATAGTGGCATTTGTTTCAATGATTTCTGATTCTTTTGTCAGCCGTTCCGTCAATTTCAAGAACTCCATGAAAAGGAGTCCGGTAAGACCGTTTGTAACGGTCAATAATCCGATAAACCAGATTTAAAAAAATAATTAGTTAATCAATTGAACACACTTAAATTAATTGTGTTGATTGATTAATTAACGATGGACTAAAAAAATTAGCATTATTCTCTATCAATTATTCGTTCTGAGTGACTATCCGCGCACCTGTAATTGAAATACAATGAAATTGAACAATCGAAAAATTGCTTCTACTCGGGGAATTCGACCCGGCGTCCTTCTGATTCATAGTCCAGCGCGATTTCTATAGTCCATCTGAAAATTCTGACGACGAGACACCCAGGTAGGAATTGCCGATGAAAACTAGGCTCATCAAAGCCTGAACCGAGGCTTGAAAATACTCAATCAGCGGTGGGGCTCAAGCTTGAATCAGCCCTCATTCAGCCCCAGAATGATAACCTGAATTGAGGCTTAATTTCTAAGGCGCGAACAAGTCTTGATGCCAAGGGCTGATGCAAGCCTTGAATTACGAAATTTTAAAGGCGCATTCGCGCTGTTTTTTTATCAAATTATATTATTATTGATGGGCATTTGTTTCAATGATTTCTGATTCATTTATCAGCCATTCTGTCGATTTCAACAATTCCGTAAAAAAAGTGGGGTGAGACCGCTAGGAACGGTCGAGAACCCAACAATTTTTAATTGTGAGGATTGATTAATTAACAATGGATTCGAAAAAATTATTATTATTCTTTATCAATTATTCGTACTGAATAATATCCTGGCATTTGTTTGAATGATTCCTGATCAGCCGTTCTGTCCATTTCAGATTCCATAAATTCCATAAAAAGCATGGGGTAAGACGGTTAGTAACGGTTGATAACTCGATAAGTGTTAATTCTGATGATAGATCCAATATATTGTTGTGACAAATTGGCCCAACATGAGAATCTGCATTCTCCTTAATGCCAAATATCTTCGACAAAAGCTTGTCCATCTTGATAGCCCACTAATTCCGTCGTAACCTATACCAAAATCATCTACACCGTAGCAATAATTTATGATCATCAAACGGGCGCATCACAACTCATCATGTTCATAATCATTTATGCTTGTTCCCATCGCCAGTCTGGGTAATTCTTACCTGACTATTCATACCAGAGACACCACTAGGAAATTCTTGTATCATGTAAATGGTAATTTGGAGAATAAAAAAGATTGTCCGTAACGCAGGAGAGTGGGAAGTGACTTCAAACTTCCCCGGAACTTCATCAACTTGATTTCATCTAGGTGGAATGTCTTCCGCATGATATCAGCCCTCAGATCGGTTGAAAAATATCCGCGAATTGGTCTGACGCTCAACTTATACTTTTAATATCATCGTTTTTTCACCTCTCTTTGTTCAGCCTTTGGAGGTGAGGGAGAGCCATCCGGCAAGATGCTACAAAGCCCATCAACTTGGAGTCTGGAGTACCATCTGCAGCCAGAAGCTCCAAGCCATCGTGAAACTAGCATCGGCACTCGAGAGTGGTAGATACGTCGCTAGGGATATCGGTGAGTATTCAAGGGGAATGGAACTACATTTTTTTACCCCATTTATTTTTCTTTCATTTTCCTCAAACGTCATTTTATTACTACAACCGTGGTGTCCCAACGAGTTTGCGCGATAAAGTTTTTTCGAGTGCTGGTGTAGGAAAAGAAGAGGCGAAAAGAAAAAAAACACACACACAACTGGCGGAGGGGTGAGGGAGTAAAAAGGGGAAGCCTTCAATTGAGAAAACGAGTGAGCGTCAGAGTTTGTTCGTTTGTCGAATGGAAAGAATGGAGTATGAGGGAGTATGAGGGGAAAAATGGGTGGAGATGAAAAAGTGCCATCCTGGCTTCCTCGTCCTAATTGAGAATGGAATCGACAGAGTTACAGAGTTGCCTCTCTCGTTGCCATAGCTCTTTTTATTTTCCTTTCAATTTCAAAAGAATAAAAAAGGACGGAAAAAGTGGCCTCCGGGGTGCGGCGACCGGCGTGCTTTATCTATCATCGACAGGCGAGTTAATAAGACAATTTATTGACCCCCAGGTGGTGCAGATCCTGAACGAATGACACCAGCCAGAGTGGAGGAGTACATAGCCGAGCTATTTCATGGCTCAAACGTAAACGTACAAGTCATCAGTGATGAGGATACACTCCTCCAGGAGTATCCTCTCTTCGCAACGGTAAACCGCGCTGCCTCTGTTATTCCACGCCACCGTGGTAGGATCATATTTCTCACTTACGAGCCGCAGAATCCAGCCTGTGTATTAGAGACCCTTCTACTTGTGGGCAAAGGCGTTACGTATGATACTGGTGGTGCTGATATCAAGATTGAGGGAGGCATGATTGGAATGTCGAGGGACAAGTGTGGTGCTGCTGCATGCACTGGCTTCATGCAGGTTTTTCTCATACTTCTTTCGTATTTTTCTTCTTCACTTGCACTTTTATCGTTTTATCGTTTCTCTTCTTTTAATATCCAGTATTTTTCACTTTACGACATTCTTCTTATCGCAACTGTGGCTAAGGGAGATAATAAAAATTTGATATAGGTGGTGAACCTCCTTCAGCCACCAACAGTCAAGGTCGTTGCGGCATTGTGTGTCGTACGTAATAGCGTAGGGGAGAACTGTTATGTGGCCGATGAGGTGATAACTGGAAAATCGGGTAGAAGAGTTCGGGTTGTGAACAGCGATGCCGAAGGGAGAATGGCCATGGCAGACGCCCTTTTCCACATAAAAGAAATGGCCCTTTGCTCTGTCAATCCCCATATATTCACCGTTGCCACCTTAACTGGTCATGCTAAACTTGCTGCTGGCACCGGTTACTCAGTGAGTTTATAAGTCATTTTATCTGGAAAACCAAGCCGAAGTTGTTGATGAATTGTTGTCGGGTTTTGTATACGCCTTCGGGGCTCTCGAGTTTCAACGGAAGTTTCGGTAAAGGAATTTTCAATATTTACCATAATTCCATTGGGCGCGTTCTACAGACGCGGAGAATTCATTACAATGTGAAGTATAAGGGAGGCTTCTACCTCATTCTATTTTGTGCCTCGAGTCGTAACTTATTTCACCATTTGTCTGAAAGTCTGGTAATTTATTAAACCACCTGTGCCCTTTCTGCAGCCCTCGGGACGGTTCGGAGCAATTAGTTTTGGGGCAGAGTATTTTTACAGGAATTTTACTCATCCCCCGCAGCTCTTTCTCGACTGATAATGTTTTTTTTTAAATTTGGCTCGTGTGGTTCGAGTATGTTGCGATGGATAATTATGCTACATATGATGTTGGATGAACTCCGTAACAGCCATTCATCATTGCGATTATATTGAAGTAGCGGATTCAATAGAAATCCGAGTGTTTTTTTCTGTTTCTTTTTCGGCAGAAAACGCAGAAATTTTTTAGCGTTTTTGAGAGAATTAGAGAACTTTTGCTTGTTTTACAATTTATTTTCCAACTATAAACGAATTTTAGAAATTTATGCCAATTGTCGAATGAATTGAAGGTTACTAATGGGAGAATCCGGAGGTTTACTTTTGTTGAACGTTTTGTTGCAAGGGATATGTTCTGTTTTATATGAATTTTACCGTAGAGAATGTGAAATACTCAAATGCAGCCAACTATGTTATTTTCTTCTCTCCATATTATAACAGCCTGTCCTCGAATATTTTTATGTTATTTTACAGAATTAATAGATGTTCTCTCCACTCTATAAGGATAGTATACATACAGCATTTGCTTTTATTTGAATAAATTGAAAAATTGCTTGTTTCTCAGGGAATATTTTTGAATTTTCAGAAATCATTAGAAAGTTTTGCAAATATTCTGTATTTTCCTAGAAAAATAAAACTTCCATGAATTTTACAGGAACTCAATTTTTTAAATAATTCTATCGTTTTCTGGAAAACCCTGAAAATTTTCAGAAAGTTCAAGAAATCTCGAGAAAGTTCCGTTGCCTCCCCCGATACATACAAATTAGCGCAATAGTTTGTAGTATGAGCTCCTGAATCTCATTAGTAGTAACCATCCCCCTGAAATCAGTTCAATAGTTTTTTTTCGTAAACGCGTTCGAAGAAAAGGCATCAGATTCATTAAACACAAGATTAAAACAGATGAATTGCCACCAAAGGATGTCACTCAACATAAACCCTGACTCGTACCCAAGAATTAATAGATAACTACCTCGAAGAACCGAGTATTTGAAGAGAAAGTTATCTCTCATGAGGATTTGTGGTTACCCCAAATCATCATTCTCTCTCAACGTCATCTCGCGTTCACCAAGAAGAGAGAGGTAATTTTGCCCAACATTTATGATCGTTATCTCTGGCAGATTGTAATGGACAATGCGGTAGCAAGACAGTCGAGTAATGCTGAGAAACTCCAGGCATCCGGTGAGATGATGGGCGATCCATTTGAAATATCGAGAATACGTCGTGAGGATTTTAGATTTCACGAGGGTCGTGCCGAAGGCGACGACGTCAGACAAGCAGCAAATGTACTCAGTACGAAACTTGAACGTGGCCATCAGGGTCCCGCCGCTTTTCTCATAATGGCTTCCGGCTTAGAGAAGGTAAATAGCAGTAGGTCAAAAGCCAGTTTTGTTACCATTTCACTAAAAACATTTGTCAAACTACCAAATGGCACATTGACTGAACGTTATTTCAGGAAAGGCTATTTCCATTTTACAGAAAGTCAAAGTGCCTTGTACTGTGTAAATGTTAACGTTGAAACTCTGTACATTTAGCACGGGTTAGGGGCTGACAGGCCTTTGAGATACAGCCATTTGGACATCCATGCGAGTGCACGTCGATTACCTGATCAACCTAGTGCTACACCAGTGCTGGCACTTGCTAAACGTTTCCTAATTGAGGGAAAGGGCCTCTAAACACCTCGACACCACATCAATCGATTATTACCGCGGTTTAGTTGATTCATAATGTTCGATTCATCAGTTTATTAACCAATTCCATCACTTTTGTCCATACAATACTCAGTCTCTCGCGGAATGCGGTCCATAAATTATCAATAACGATACATTTAGATGATTAATATATAATATCAGAAAGGTCAGAGGCTATTGGAAAAATATTGGCAAACGATTTCTATTAATATTAGTGTCGAAACATATAATGTCCAAAAAAATTAAGAAAGCATATGAATAAACAAAAAGTCATTCAGCAGAAACATAGGATCAACCAAACGCAAGGAGACTTTAAATGATTCTAACTGATAAATAGGTCCACGTTTACATTGCAAAGGTCAATAATGAGATAATTGCGTTGAAGCCATGAACAAAAAGATTTAGTACTTGAATACTCCTCACAAAAAAGTTATCCCCGTTTTTATGGAAAGAGATAAGCTAAAAAAAAACCTGTAACACTTTAACCGGTTGAAGTATTTAGATTACTTCAGATAATAGGCTAAATGTCTTGAAACCCATAAACTCACCCCAGAAAATTACAAATCACCCAGTTTCATTGTTTTCATCAGATAGCCTACCAACACTTGACACCTCGTCCATAATAGTAAATAAATAGCCAACTCGGATAGCCGTAAAGTCTTCCATCCCTCAAATTGACTTCGAAAATTCTTAAACTTCCTAAATTTACGAAACGTTTCCGAATTGAGGGAAACGGATTCTAAACACCTCAACACTCCATCAATCGATTATTACCGCTGTTTAGTTGATTCATAATGTTTGCTTCATCAATTTATTAACTAATTCTATCACTTTTTTCCATACAATACTCAGTCTATCGCTCAATGCAGTCCATAAATTATCAATAAATATACATTTATATGATTCTAACTGATAAATATGTCCATGATTACATTGTAAAGGTCAATAATGAGATAATTGCATTGAAGCCATGAACAAAAAGATTTAGTACTTGAATACTCCTCACAAAAAAGTTATCCCCGTTTTTATGGAAAGAGATAAGCTAAAAAAAAACCTGTAACACTTTAACCGGTTGAAGTATTTAGATTACTTCAGATAATAGGCTAAATGTCTTGAAACCCATAAACTCACCCCAGAAAATGACAAATCACCCAGTTTCATTGTTTTCATCAGATAACCTACCAACACTTCCCACCTCGCCTATAAAAGTAAATAAATAGCCAACTCGGATAGCCGTAAACTCTTCCGTCCCTCAAATTCACTTCTAAAATTCTTAAACTTCCTAAACTTACGAAACGTTACCAAATTGAAGGAAAGGGCCCCTAAAAGCATCGGCAGTTCGATCGATTATCACCGTTGTTTAATTGATTCACAATGTTCGCTTCATCTATATATACAATACTCAGTCTCACGCTGAATGCAGTCCATAAATTATCAATAATGATACATTTGAATGATTCTAACTGATAAATATGTCCATGATTATACTGTAAAGGTCAATAATGAGATAATTCCCCTGAAACCATGAACAGAATGATTTAGTACTTGTATATTCCTCATAAAAAAATGATCCTCATCTTTATGGGAAAAGATAACACGCTACAAAAACCTTCAACACTTTAACCGCTTAAAGTATTTAGATAACTTCAGATGATAGACTAAATGTCTTGAAGCCCATAAACTCTCCCCAGAACTTTACAAATCACCCAGTTTCATTGTTTTCATTAGACGACCTACCAACACTTCACACCTCGCCCGTAAAAGCAAATAAATAACCAACTCGAATAGCCGTAAAATCTCCCATCCCTCGAATAATGACAATCCACTCCTTTCCATCTCAATATCCATAAAGAATAATCCCCAGAAGTATAATTTCACATTAAAACACCCAGCCATAAAGTCCTTATTTCCTCATTGTTTAATTACTCAAGTTCCCTCGTGCCACGGAATTAAACGTGTTTGGATAGACGCCTCACATCGTAAATTCACATTGAAATCCAGGGCATTACGGGTTTTGGTACAGTGCAATGGGGCTGACGTTGCTAAATTTTACGACTCTCGAGTATAAAAGCTTGAGCAAAAGCCGTACAAGAAGCCCTCAGGGATACCAATACATCCTGTCCCCATTCACAATCTATCCTAGTTTTATACCCTCAGTTCAAATATCTATCTTTCCTAGTTCACCGCAACAACAAACACCCCTGACCCACAGTGGTTATTTCACACCCATCGTCCATCGATATTCTACTCCAACGAATTTACGTTTATAGGCTGAGACGAGCTCTTATGGTTGCTCGTATCGGCATGTCTCCACGAGGACAACCAATGATTTTTTTTATCCCTCCCCATTTTTTTTTACGATTATGCGTCAAGGGTTTTACAACCAAATATCGATATGAAATATTTGTCTTTTATGGCCTAACCAACATTTTATCATCAAGCCATAATCCATTGAAATACCTGTATCCCCTGTTATTTCAGCACGGTGCATGTAGCTGTACGCCCTTAAAGTATACACACATTGGAATTGGTTCACATCTATCTTCATGCCACGCTCTTGAAATACCATACTCCGGAAATCCTGTACTATCCATGTCATATTGCTATCTCATCCAGGGCAAGTGTTTAACAATACGAAATGATCCACCGGATGAGATGCAATATGTGTGTGAGATTGACTGCAAACCCGTTGGCATTGCACCACAACAGCCGTGTGGTATGATTGGAGATTCTGGGAGAAATCCCTGTATCGTGCCTTGCACACCTACCGCTGGTGAAAATCCGTGTCAATATCCTGGGGATGGCTGTAGTGGCAGTAAAGCGCCGGCTGAACAACTTATTGTTGAGCCTGTTTGCCTGCCCAATACGAAGAGGAATGGATTGTGAGGGTTGGGGGGGATTTAAGTGGATAAGGTAACGGATGTGACAGACAATATTGTGTTTGGATGAGGAATAAAGGACAAGTTACCGATCGTTGGAAATGGAGGTACCGTTTTCATTTCAATTACTTTATTATCGACTGATAGTAATGTGCTTTTACTGGCAGTCGCAATGTACAGCTTGAGCCAGTGGGTGGTAATTCTCTGGGGTCAGGAGTAAATTTCTAGGTTATCTGCATTATCAGATCATCCTTACTCCGTCAGTAAAATAGTCTCACCTGTAATTCACTCAGTTCTTCAATTCCTTTTTACTTCTTCCGCAAAAGTGCGTTCAAAAAATATGCCAATGCATTCAGCAATTTCAGCCGCAAAATAACTCGCGTTTATATATTTATGGATTTATATTTATTGATGTATACCCACAAATCGGATGGAACTATAACACCATGTATAATTCAAATGTTCCTTGGGAGAAAATTTTTTTATGGGAATTCCAGTGACACAATATTGACCTCCGGTGTACACAAGACTGTGGTTGATGCAGGTATGTTGACCACTAAAGGCAAACTTTCTTTTCGAGGGACACCCTTTCGACAATAAGCCCCCTGCTGTCGAAAATGGGGGAAAAAAACCGCAACAACCAAAGAGAGTAGTAAAATTTTATGGCGCAAGGTATGGTGGCGATCTCCAGCTCGTTGAGGGAGACGAAAAGGTTTCCGGTGAATTTCGAAAGACTCGACACTCCTCCGCGTGTAACAAACGGGGTACTGTAAACTCCTCGACGTGGCCGTCGTCACTACTTTTTTTGCGAGGCGCATAGTGCACCTCCTCCCTTTTACATTGGTTCATTATTCATCGATATTTGCTTATTTGGTCACAAAATATATTTGTGAAAATTTAAGCTTATGACGTGAGTTTTGGAGATATGTCACTCATGAAATCTGGTACACGGATGGGTTTGAAATTCGATGAAATTTCGAATGACATTCCTTTGAAATTCCTGAAATTTTTTTTTCTATAATCCTGTGCATCCGATGTCTCGCAATCCTTGTTACTTGATGAATAAACTGACCTTGAAAATTGAACAGGACGGGAGGGTCAACTATGGCACACACTTGAATTTGGTGATGAGTAATCGTCGTACGAATTTTGACACAGCCTCGTTTTCGGTATGTGCGGCGAACTTGTGGAATTCCCTACTACTAGATTTGAGAGAGAAATATTTCATGTAGGTCTTTAACAGGTACCTATTCAGATGACCTTCTGAGAGGCAAAAATTTTATTAGGAATACGAATGAAGTGCAATGATTCTGTAATTGATATATATATTTTGGTTCCATATGTATACCCTCTCGGGTTTTTACATTTTGTTCCCTTCCATGGGCCCTTCCAATTGCACCCCATTCGGGATTGGACTGCCAGGGAAACCATGGAAAACCTCAGTCGTGCAGCCGGCCGATAATGCAGGGATTCCACTGTGTCTATTGGTCACACTCACTCAATGGGCACAGTAGTTCTCTACATTCGTGCCTAGCGACTGTAGTCCCACGCGGTTAGGTGTGCCCAAGCGGACACCCATCCAAGTACTGGGCAGACTGAACGCTGCTTAGCTTGGATGACCGCCGGAGTCACACACTCTCCGCGTGACCACTACAGCCTCTGTAATTGATATTTAATGCTACTGTATTTGTGTGCACGTGCGCCCCAGGTTACTATGAATATTAAATTGCTGCAAACTTTTATTTATCGTACACTATTTATTCGTTCACTGTAATTTTATTAGTTTTTGTATATATATGCGAGCAGACGAAACGCCAAAGTGGGGGCATGTAGATAACAATGAAGTAGAATTCAATTAAATCAGTGAAGACTTGATGTTGAAAAATTATAAATTGATTAATCGCTAGTCAGCTGCATCTCATCGTATATGTACATTGTAAATAATGTACTTGAAAAGTTTCCCCTTGGTATTTAGAAATTACGTGATATCTTTTAAAATGTCATTTCATTCTAATTTTTTAATTCATTCAAATTTCCTGGAACAGACATCGATAGACTCTATATGATATTCAAATGTGTGTCATGAAAATGGAATTAAGCACGTAAAAATAACTAGTGGAAAACAATCGGAGCCATCTTACCCCGTAATTAGCCCTTTTCCCGGTCAGGAAGTTTATTGAATTTTCTGAAACCGTTCCGAAGTCTAGAATCTCGACCCAATAAAACTCAAATTTATATAAACTTTCTCGGAATGTTTCTAAAAATTTTTAACACCCTGTAAAACTGATTGAAATCTGTCTACGAATTTCTGAAGATTTCATGCAATTTCTTGAAATCCGTACAAGTGTTTTCGGTGTAATTTTCCTCTCGCCTCAAAGATATTCAAGTATTTTTTACAGCGTGATGCAGATCACACTATAGATTCAACAATTTTGAATCATCAAATTTGTCAATTAAATTGCGCGAGAAAAATTTGAAAAACATCGTGAATATTCAGCGTCATTCAAATGACGTTTTATCCAGATTTATTATTTTATTTAACATTCGTTGTTTATAAATAAATAATTAAAGTTGTTCAAACTTTCGGAAACCTTATTTTTTTAGGCATGGGATTGAGCCTCCGGTGAAATTCTGAACTTAAATAAATTAGTTACGATTCCAAACAAACGATTTTTATAGTGGAAAATTGATTGTTTATAAATTATTTATAAAAAATGCGCGTAACTTGAAAAATTGCACTTTTTTAATTATTTCACGCATGTTCCTCCAAAAGTGAACTTTCTAATTTTTTTTTCACATTTTCAAAATGTTTCCTAAAACTTTTCATTGCAGAAAAAATAGTCAAAGTACTTCGATATCCTTAAGGTATATCCCAAGAAAATCGGACCGAAAAATTAGCGCCTATGGATTCCCGGAAAAAATTCTGAAAAACTTAATTTATTTTATTCTCATGAGTTATTGAGTTTTTCTGTTCTCATGTGTTGTTGATGCAGGTAACAATAACTGTTTGAATCAAATAAAAAACTATTTGTTAATTAATTGTTTGAATCAAATAAGTAGTACCTTCACGAAATTTCCATGTTTTAGAGTTGAATATGGCAGAAACTATGCAGTACAAAATTTTACAAAAAATTGATCGTATTCGGAATTTGTCAATCTATCGCGGATTAGTTTTTAAAAAATATCGTAATAATCGTTTCCTCATAAGATGGAAAAATCGAGTTCGGCGGACTCATAACCCCCGTTTGGCCTTTACCTCGTGTGTTAGAAGCCCGCATTTCATTATTTAGTATCTCCTAAACTGTGTAGTACAGTTAGTTAGTATTTTTTTCAATAGCTGGGGACTATTGTAAACATTATCTGTGAAAAACATGCGGACAATCCTACAAAAAACGTGTTTTTTATTTTTTTCTGTTTTCTATTTCAATTAAATATTGAATTAAACTCATTGATGCATCTTCAACAAAAAAATTTAGTCAAAATTTGTCAATAAAAAGTCGGCAACCTTAACCAAAGCAAAGGTTTGTCGAGGTATTAAAATTTTTTTCTCATTATCGTATACCTTTCGGTGCTTATGAATGCTAGTCCTTTCCATTTTTTACTTTGCGTGCCAATTTTATTCTCAGTGCTCTTTCCTCTCTCCTCTTTTCAATTCTCAATAATGGTTCTGTCCGCGGTGTTTCCTTATGGTCATCACTCCACTTAGTGACCACGCTCAGCGCTGCGTAGCTTTCCAAAGCTAAGACTACTCACCAACGCAGCCCCTCAGGGCTAGCCCCGCAGGGTTTCTGTGTCACAAACTAATGCCTCCGCATTATGCAATCGTCCGTAATAAAATCGGTAGTTAACCCAAACAAACTAAGAAGTCGAAAGGGCTGGCGACAGACATATTAATAGAATGCCAATGCTGATCAGATGTGGAACAGGTAAACAGACGTGATAGTGACTTCAAGACGTGAAGTTGAGCGTGACTGGGTAGTAAATCTTTCCTGGATTTATTATGACTCTGGGTGAACACAGACGAAGTACACGCAATTCATGCATGTCGAGCACTTGCTGATCATAAATGGTAGCATGTGTTAACACAACATCAATATGAGGAGGTTTTATGATGAATTGTGATTAATTCAGGGTGGAGACTCAGTAGCATGCCTTATTGTGGAGGAAATAAGACATATGGAGAGCAGGGATAGCCAACTTTGTAATATTTTATTATGATTAAATATTGTAGCCCTTAATTACATAACATCACTCTTGAAATTTTTTGAGTACTTAAATATCATCAATTCAAATATTCAAATTTTGGATTATTTTATCAATCAATAATTGAGGTAGGAAGATTGACGATTATTTGTGTAATCGAAAATCCCCTTTCAAGAAATTTGAATTATTCACTTACTAGTAAATTTACAGTTTCAGATTAACAAATTTTAAATACGTGATTATTCGTAAAAAATCAGATTATTAATATTATATTATTTGAAAAATTGAATCAACATACTTTAAACCTTCATTTATGTAAGGGTCATATTCTTGTAATATTACAGAAATTTAATATTGATGGGGATCCCTGAGGATATTATTCTCAATTTATGATAGGATACGAATGCGACTGAGGCAAATAGCCCTGGGCTATCTGTGAACATCTCGCAACGGTCTCTAAACCCTTGAAAATTAACCTAGTCAAGTAATAGCATATTTTACAATACCTGCCTGAAAAGTTCCCTTTTCGGGGCGATTTAGCGGGCGTAAAGAATTTGTTTTCCGCACGACGTGGATAAATTCCGGAGGTCGTGCGTAAAGCTTCACTTTACGCACTCGAAATTAACTTTTTGCGATACCTGCCTCAAAAGTAAACTTTATGCCACTCATGCCTGAAACCGGCTGGATTACACACTCGACGCTTCGCGTCTCGTGTCTAATTCAGCCGGTTGCAGGCTTCGTGACATAAAATTTTGTTCAGTACTTGTTGGGAAATTTCGTCCTTAACGTGTGTGGTTATATCAC